ATTTATTTATTTATTTATTTATTTATTTATTTATTTATTTATTTATTCATCTATCTATATATATCTGGACCAGAGCAGAAACCAGATAAAAGCTTTTGGTTCTCAGGAGGATAATGGAGGATAATGTTTAAGGGGTCTGGGTTTGAATTCAGATTCTGGCAAAAAGGCGACATCAAGCAAGGGAGGAGTTAAAAATAAATCCCTCCAGCAAGAAGGAAAAAAACACACCCCCCCTCCCTCCTGAGCCCTGATTGGTCCAGCCCGCCCTGCCCCCATGTGTGAGTGGCCTATGGGCCTCATATATAGCAGGACCCCCCCCTGCCCAGACCCCCCCTGGAGGAGAGGGGGGGTGGGGGGGGTACTTCCTGTTTGGAGAAGAACTCAGAGTTCATACTCTGCTCCTGAACCATGAACGGGACCCCGGACGGATGCTGCCTCCCTGCCCCCGAAGAAGGGTCCTTCATGTTCACATCCGAGTCTGTGGGAGAGGGACACCCTGGTGAGAGGGGGGGGGGGGGGTAATGGGGGTAATGGGGGTATGGGGGGGTCCAGGTATGTGCCACTTTAAGATAAAACCTGCTAAAAGTGTCAGAGGGCTCATTGATGAATCTGAGGAATGCTCAATGCTCAGAGTCTGGCGCCGTTGAGCAAACAGGACGGGGGAATTTAACCAGTTCTGAGCGATTCTCTGATCTGTTAGGCGGAAAAAAAGATCAAATTACAGCTAATTTTATGCTATGAATCGAAGGAGTTTATTCCTTCTGTCCGTGTCAACTTAGTTAGACTGAGTTTGTAACATGCAAGGTCAGAAAATTCTAACTAAAATGCATCAAAAGCACAAAAAAAACAACTAACGTTTTATGCTGCAGATTGAAGGAGTTTACTATTTCTGTGCGTGTCAACTTAGTTAAACAGAGTTTTTAACGTGCATCATCAGAAAATTCACACTAAAATGCATCAAAAGCAAAAAAACAACTAACATTTAGGACTGAAGTTCCCTCTGGAGCCAGATTTAGGGATTTAGGGACTCAAGAGTGAGAACAGCCCCAGGACATGTGCTGTTATTATCCTCATTCACACAGAACAGTTTTCAAAAAGATTTAAACCTGTATTGAACCTGTACTGAAGGTTTTAAACGCTTGTCGAATTGTTTCCTCACATCTTCTGCAGATCTGTCTGGATCCACATGAAGTTGGTTCAGATTTGTTGCTGTTCCTCCAACTTCAAGACACTTTAATTAATTTTTTCCTCATAATTTTAGCAAAACATTTAAAATATTGTGCGTTTTATTCATTTTCTATCAAGGAGTCTGTTTGACTCGGGCTCAAAAACCAAAAAAAGGCCTCCAATAGCTTTAGTTTCTCCAGAAAATGTAATCCCATAATACCAAAAATTAACTTTAATGTTCAGAAAACAATAAACCAAAAGCTAATTAGGGTCTTGTTTTCCACATTTCTAATAAATATTTCTAACTGTCTAAGGATCTAAGGATCTGTTAATCCTAATTGGGTTAAATGAATTCACACTTAACTATTAACACTATAATTTCTTTGATATCACATTTGACTAATTGGTCCACCATTAGGTAAGAACTATGAACTTGAAATTAATTTAAGCCACATATTTACATTCAAGCAAAACCTGAAAGACCCTTCGGAGAAAAATGATTTATTGTTAAAATATTAATCTGTCAGGTTTATTTACTTTGCACAATACAGAGCATTTTAAAGCACAACAGTTTGCTAATGATATGCTAACCCTCAGCCAAAAGTTAGCTAACGTTTGCTAACCCTTAGCCAACAGTTTGTTAGCAATATGCTAGCTCTTAGCCAACACTTTGCTAGTAATATGCTAACCCGTAGCCAACAGTTCTCTAGTCATTTGCTAACTCCTAGCCAACGGTTAGCTAAATGTTTGCTAACAGGTGGCTAAAAGCATGCTAATAGTCGGTTAGCTATCAGTATACCAGCAGCTGTTAGCAATGTGGCACAACACAACTGATTGAACATCAGTTAAGATTGAAAATAAAGCTTCTATCTGACTGAAGACTAAAACCAGTCTTAGGCTATGGATCCAAATTATACATACATTAACAGATATTTTTCTTTTTTTTTTAAAGGAGTAAAAATAGTATTTTGATTATTTTTGCTTTTAAATTTGAAACAACTTTGAAAAAAGATCCTAACGATTTCTATAATGAAATATATAATTATTGAACAGAATTCAAATTACTGGGAGAGAATTTTACTTAAGTTATTGTATAAGGTTAATCTATTCGAGAGGAGTAAAATGTTGAACGTTTAAGTTTAATTACAAGCTTACGTTTGTACAGATGAACACTCTAAACATATTTTTTTGTGAGCAGATCATGAAGAGGTGGATTGAAAGTACAATATCCTCCTGAGACCCAAAGAAAAAAAGTGTCTTCAAATTTCTTTTTTGTTGTGATTTTCCATGTATTTGGACCTAAAAAAGAACATTACAATTGAAATTTTTTTTAAATATCTTTAATTTTAATTTCATAGCATGTCCACTGTGGAGGACAACAGGACGATTTGCATGGGAAAATAGAACAGGCTTTAGATAATTAAATAATAAAAAAAGAAGATGTCTTGAAAGGGATATTTACCTAAGAACTCTTAGGAAAAAAGTAAAGTTCCCAGCATGCAAACCTATCACATGGCACATCACTGGAAAGCCCAGGATGTCCTCTACAGAACACTATAGGGCTTTATAGGGTAACTCCAGATACTTAGGGGGGGTACAGGTGGACAAAATGTCCACTATAATGGACATAAATGAATGGGCCAGGTCTCAGGAGGATATTTTAGCACAAGCTAGTCTGAATGTGTGAGGACACCATGGTATGAATCACCCCACTGGGGTCTATTCATAGGAACGATGTGTAGAGCAGTGAAAGGGGATATTTTCCTGCTCAGCCCTCTCCAGGAATCTGCCATTAGAAGGTCACAACCTGCTGCCCATGCAGATGTTCATGCATGTAAAAAAAAAAACACTTTTTGCCTTCCAGATAAGATATGCGACCAGATCAGCGATGCTGTGCTGGACGCCCACCTGAAGCAAGACCCCGAGGCCAAAGTGGCCTGTGGTGAGTGTGTGTTGTGATTTAGTCCAGTAAAGGGAGGGAGCACACCGGTGAATATAGCACCAGATAATGGTCTGATTATTTAAAGGGTTTACAGACCAGGCCGGTTTAAAGGGATCTGTTGTAAAGAGTCAAATATTTTTTATTAAGTCAGTAAAAGTGCAGATACGAAACTTTATTTGAGACATTTTGTGGTGTTTTCTTTATGTAAAAAGGTATTTATAGGTTTGGTTTCACATTGTATATTACATATATTATATTGTTTAGCTTTGTTAAAAGTTAGAAAAAACTACAGTTAGCAAATAGTTAGTTGATGGTTGGCTTAAAATTAGTCAGACAAGTTAGTTGAGAAATAGCTAAGAGTTAGTCAACACGGTTAGTCAACAGTTTGCTGATAGTAAATCAACAGTTAGCCAACGGTAATTAACAATTTGCTAACAGCGAGGAAACAGCAAGCTACACAGTTTGCTAACAGCAAGCTATACGGTTTGCTAACAGCAGGTCAACAGTTAGCTATATCTTTAGCTAACAGCTAGTTAACAATGGTTACACAGTTTGCTAACTGCTAGTTAACAACTAGCTACAGAGTTTGCTAACAGGTAGCTATACAGTTTGCTGACAGCTAGTTAACGGCTAGCTACATATTTAACTAATAGCTAGTTAACAATGGTTACACAGTTTGCTAACTGCTAGTTGACAGATAGCTACACAGTTTGCTAACAGCTTGCTACACAGTTTGCTGTTCGCTAACAGCAGTTTGCTAATTATGAGCTAACAGCCTGGAGTTACCAGCCTTCCTGTTGCCATGTTAATACATCATAAAGAGTTTTATTTTTTGGCTGATTTGTGTGTGACAGAAGTAAATTATTCTTTAAAATTCTCCCCGTGTGCTTTGACACAGAGACGGTGTGTAAGACGGGGATGGTTCTGCTTTGTGGGGAGATCACGTCACGAGCATACGTGGACTATCAGACAGTGGTGAGAGACGTGATCAGAGACATAGGTTATGATAACTCCAAAAAAGGTGAGTGAAAGCTCCAGCTTATCCACTGAAATTATTCTTTAAAATTAAGGTTTTGAGTCTCTTTCAACACAGTTTGTGGGACCCTCATCGGTAATGTTTTGGATGCTTTTGTTGGGATCCAAATGAATGGTGTGCCTATTTTTATACTCCAAAAAGATCCAAGATGAAATCTCACATGACAATAAGAGTGAGAAGATTTAAAAACTCGGCCATTTTCTGTGAGATTTGAGGTTCAGTTTATCTTTTCTCTTCAGTTTTCTCATGTAATACTTCGGTTTCTATGTTTATCCTGGTTGGTTTTCCTAGTTTCCTCTGAGCCTTCCAACTCTCTGGGCCTGTTTCTTCCCTCAGTCTTTGTCTTAGTGTTTTTCATTTCCACCCAGGCCCTTTTCCAGGTTCTCATTTATATTTTTTCTTCATTAAGTGCTTGAGTTTTTTAGTTTTTTTTGTTGATAAGGTGTTCAATAAACCAGTTTAATTTCCTAATCTAAGCTTTTTAGGCCTCTCTCAGGCCATCTTACCCCACTCCTTCGACCCCTTTCAGGGTGAACCTCACCTGGTAATCTGGGCAGACTCATAGCTTTTATCTGTTTGTTTCTTTCCTTCTCCTTTGCCCAGGCTTTGACTACAAGACCTTTAACTTGCTGGTGGCCCTGGAGCAGCAGTCCCCTGACATCGCACAGGGAGTTCACGTGGATCGCGGGGAGAGCGACATCGGCGCCGGAGACCAGGTCACCTGGACCAGATTTAGACCTCTAGCATCTAGGGTTGTGACGATACTAAAATTTTCAACTCGATACCGATACTCAGGAAAATACTCGATACCATTTTCAATACCACAAGGATAAAAACAATGACCCAAAAATTTAACTGCATTTTGACAGGTTAGTGTCTTTCATTTCAAACTGACCTGTTACTGATGTTATCGTGACTGGTGGCCCGTATTAATGACCCTAACCCTAACCCTAACCCTGACCCTAACCCCTAACCCTGACTCTGACCCTAACCCTAACCCTAACCCTAACCCTAA